CCAAGGGTTGAGGTTGTACGTGTGCACCACCATGCCAAGGGTTGAGGTTGTACGTGTGCACCACCATGCCAAGGGTTGAGGTTGTACGTGTGCACCACCATGCCAAGCTCTGGAACAGCTTTCGTGTCCTGGGTTGAGCCGGATGAGTGAAATACCTAGCATGAGAAAATAGGTGGATCTGATGACAGATTCACCCAGGGCCTTCTCTAATCTGGTTCCTGTTCACCTAGCCACCTTCAGTCTTTGCTCATGCTCAATACAAATCCCTAGGCACGAAAAAATTTCATCTCTCCAAACCCTAGCAAAGCCTTTGACTACACACTATGCCTCTCTTTCCACAATCTTCTTCCCTATGCTCTTGCCAAAGCACAAGCTATCTGTCAAAACTTTAGGTAAAATCAAAAATCTGCTCCTCAAGGTATGCACAGCTGTCCCCAGACCTTATCGGGAGCTTTCACCCAACCGTAGACCTGACCCTTCCCATTTTCTTTCTCTGGAGTCTTATCATGAGGGAGGGGGACTGGCCACCCCAGTGAAGACATGCCCTCATGATAAGACTCCAGAGAAAGAAGATGTGCCTATCTCCCCATACCCATCTCTTTGAGACAAGCTAGGTTATATGTGACTAGAAAGATGGGCTTCACCATTGGCCATGCTCGGACTCTCATCCTAGTCTTCTGACTTCGTGAGCCCCACTTTCTACCTCCAAAAGAAAGTGTGTGCAGCTGTCCAGATAATGAGAAGACCCTGGGGTCCTAATGCATTAGCTCTTGTTGACTCCCCATCACCACTGTTCAGGTAGGACTTGTCAGCCACATGTGCAATTTTTCTCTTCAATGTCCCCAGCCAAAGCACTCTATTGATGATCTACTGCTATGCTATAAATGGAAATTAGCAGCCTTAACATAAGCATTTATTATCTCACAACTTCCCGTGGTTGGGAACCTGGGAGCAGCTTTACTGACCAGGTATTCTCAGAGAAAAGCAGCCTTGTAAAGTTGCTGTCAAGATTTCACCAATTCACACCCCATACTAACTGCAGCATTGTTACTATGCACAGTAAAGAAAAGGCAGGAGCAACCCAAGCACTCATCAGAAACTGAATGTGTAATCCAAATACAACACATGTGTATGTGTGCATGTGCGAGCGCGTGCGTGCGCACGCGCGCGCGCGCACACACACACACACACACACACACACACACACGTTAGTTGACCTTCAAAAGGAAGCCAATTCTGGTAGTCTGCAATATGAATAATTCTGGAGGACCTCATGCTAAGCGAAAGAAGGCAGGCATCAAGGGACATATACTACATGATTCCATTTATAATAGGCACCTAGAATAGTCATGCTCGTGAAGACAGAGGAGAAGGGCGGTTACCATGAGTCTGGGAAGAAGGTAATGGGAATCTATCACATAATGGGTACACAGACCCAGTGTGGAAAAGATGAAATAATTCTGGAGATGGATAGTGTCACAAAGTAAAACTACCCCTTAAAAATGAATGAAGTAGCTAAATGTCTGACCTGTATCTCCAAGGATAATTTATGTTTCTGTGTTATGTTCACATGGATGCAGGTAAATGGACATGTGTAGGAATATGTGTACATGTACTGTACATTTACGTGTGGAAGCCAGTGGTCATCTTCAAATGGCATTCCTTGGGTGGCACCCACCCCATTTTCTGAGACAAGGTCTCTTTAGGCTGGAGCTTTTTTATTGGGCTAGAGTGCTGGCCAGTGAGTCTTGAGGATCCACCTGTCTCTGCCACCCAGTGCTAAGTTTACAAACATATATAAATGCCACGCTTGACTCTTTCTCTCATGGATTGGGCTCTTATGCTTGTCCCTGCAAGCACTTTACCGACTGAGCCATCTCCCAGGATCTTCATTAATAATTTTTACAAAGCTGTCCTCTAGGAATGCAATCATCTCAGTGTGTGCTTAATCCTGGGTAAGCTGTTTCACTTCTGGATTGTAGTTTTTATCAGTTGGGCACTGGCCTCACTGTGTGCCCTCATCCCAGTGGTAGCTAGAACATCCTCAAAGTCTGGTACCAGTATCCTCCAGAGCGAGTCACTCAAAAGAAGGAGAGATGTGAGAGCATCCAAGACAGAAGCTGTCCTCCTCCTATAATCTAATCTGACACCCACCAGGTCAACAGGGACCAACCTCGGTGTGGTGTAAGGGGAGAGCCCATACAGGTACAGATGCCTGCAGGTAGAGATCATGGAGGTCATTTCGACAGATGGCCTGTTTAGTTTTCTACTTCTCTGCTTTGTCAGTGAGACTATAAATATCTAATTCATCCACCTCATCACACCTGAGTGTCTCTAAGTAAACTGTCTAAATCCCTTGTTTTGTTTAGACTCTCTGCAGGTTCCCAATAACCACCCTTTGCTGTGTTCCAACCCTTTTTCGGCTGATTGTACAAGAAGATCTGACAAGGTACAGCCCCTGCTTGCCAATTCTGGGGTTCTTATATGAGGACCTATATGCAAATTCACCTTTTCAACCCAACTCTTGTTCTCCGTGGTCCTCTGTTTGCCTTCCCGTGACTCTCTCGAGTCACATCTGCCTCTTTCTGTGCCTTCATGTGTCTCTTTGCCACTATCTGCTGTCTTTCACGTAAAACACTCCCCCATTCCTTACATAAGGCCTTTAAAGACGATTTTGTTGCTCCTCAGAATTTGTACCCAGAGAAAATGGAAAGGATTTAAGGCAATCCAAAAATTCAACATTTGAGGTAAACTTTATCACCACTGTATACCATACTCTTAGCATTGTGTCTGTGACTTATGTCTCAGAAATTATTAGATTTCCACTGACCATCTATAGAATGGAATTGGTAGCTAAGGAGCTTTCATTTGCTTGGACTAACAAGTTCAACAATGGTATATACTACATCTCCTACCCACAAATGAACGCAAGTCTGCCATTCCTGGGTATCTGAGTTTGGGAACAACACTCTGTGGATGACTCTTATCCTGGCAAATCCAAAGCAATATTCACTAGTTGGGCAGAGGGATTTGCTGGGTTACTGGGTGAATGCACTCCTCGATCAGTAACTTACTGATCCCAACCCATGTCTCCTTTTTCTATTCTTTTCCAAGATATACCCTTCACACGCTCTCATCTTCCTTAATCATACTCCCTGGCTATAAAATATCCAAAAGAAGGGAGCATTTACATGATTTTGAGGGTATTATTCTAAATATAAGAATCCATCCCTTTCATTCATTTCTTGTGAATATCTCCACATTGTAATTCTGGCTAGAAGCAGTCCTTGGGTAATTCTTCAAGACCAATAAGATGCTGCCTGGCAATATGAAGTAATTCAACTGAATCAGTGGACTCCACCTGGGAGGAGAAAAATGATTGAAAATGTATTTATACTTAGGATAATTTTTGAACTGAGAGTCACATTTGCTGTTTATTTAATATCTCTGGTAATTTTAGAACCAATATTCAAAATTGGGGGATTCTTAGAAGGCTGTTTTTAATCTCTAAAATTTATATTGCTTTATTACTTTGAGTTGGATTATTGCCTTGATTTATTATCAATTAGTTTGTTTATAGGTAAATTAATTTGGAAAATCCACTGTTATGCCCAAACCTACCACGTGAATCCTATTTTATCCAGAATTTAGATAGTATAGGTTTGCTTTAATTATTTGCTTCTGCAAACCATATCTGCAGAGAGAGGTTGAACCACATGGAACTGCTATGGAACAGAAGGGAGTTTGTCCGCTAGTGTCTTTGGGACTCTGAACATCTAGCAGTACTCGAGGGTAGGTAGAACTCTTCATGACGTAGATGGTCTTGTCTTCCTACCTGAGAAAGGTACAAGTTTCAAAGCCTGAAGCACTGTGTGACGGGTGGGGAGGCCCTCAACCCTGATGTGAGGGACAAGTGGAAGAGCCAGACAGGCCTGGAGCTCCATGAAGGCTACGGACAATCGGAAACAGTGAGTTGGTGTCCCAGACCACCTCGTCTGAGCCCTCTGCCCATCATAGAGGATCACTTACCTGCAGCAGTGACTCACCTGTCCCTGACACCTTCCCAACACTGCATGGGCTCTAGGGGACACTGGCAATGAAATGCCATTACCCATTCTTCCTTTTAAAAGGCCGTCTCAGGTGATTAATTTCACATATACCTCAGCTTGCAAAGCAGCTTCTCTGATACCATAATTACTTTTGGGTAGCTGTGACAAGATATCTTGCAGAAACAGAGAGGGGAGACTTACTCTGGCTCATAATTTGAGAGGGTTCAGTCATGGTCCCTAGGACCCATGAGCTGGGAGAACATTACAACAGTGAGAGCTCATGGCAGAAGAGGTCCCATCATAACACTCATGTTCAGATTGGTCTTCCCTTCTCAGACACACTGCCTGCTAGATGATTCTAGATTCAATCTAGTTGACGATGAGGATCAATACTCACAGTCGCTCGAGGAAATTGTCTGTCACCCCATAGTAGCCTACCGCATATTTTTAGTAAAATCTTAAGCAGTAAAATCTGCAACTATCTTGGCAGGATGTGGGGGTGAGTTTTTGAGTTTAATGATGCAATCTAGTTCTCCATCCATGAACACTAATTAGAGAACCCCATGAAGATCTGTCGGCTATGAAAAGACGATAAAGAAAAGTTAAGGGGAAAGGAGAGAAGAGTATGAGAGGGAGGGCAATGAAGAGGGCTGAAGAAAGAAGAATGAGCTAACAGGGAGAGCAAGCGAGCAAGCATGGAGCAGGAAACAAGGGGATGAGGCTCCCCCTCGTGGACACGGCTTTCTCTCCAGGTCCTCATCTGTGGCAATTCAAGAGGCTCCACAATCAAATCTGGATCTATGGGGAAAGCAAGCCCACCTTACGATGTGCAGGTAGGTAGCCTCTGCTCGCTGTGCACGGAGTTATCCACATGCTTGGGAGTACAGGTTGGTGGGTACCCTGGTTGTGTAAATGATGCTCTGAGGCCATGGAATGATCTCTCTATCAGATTGTGGATGAAGAGGGCAATGTCCTGCCTCCAGGGAAAGAGGGGAATATTGCTGTCCGTGTCAAACCCACCAGACCCTTCTGTTTCTTCAACTGCTATCTGGTAAGAGGGGGGAACCAGCTGTGAGAAATCACAGCAGTCATTGAATGCACACCCCTAAGAAGCACATTTTGTAAATATCTTAAGTTTAACCCTTGCAGTAACTGCATGAAGTTGGTTACTATTGTTATTGACCAGGAATACTGTTGTTGGTAAGGAGGCTACAAA